TCATCCAAAGGACATTTCTCCTGTGGAGCTGAAGGTGAAGAAATGTATTGAGAGTAGCTTAAAGAAGATAGAATATAAGAGATGGAGGAACTTGCATGTTGCTATATAGTCCCAAAGCTGGCAAAAATGTGGTCATTTTATGTTTAGTAATATCTACTAAATTGCAATGGAGTATAACTATAAACTATAGTTCTGAAATAGACAAGGATGCCACTAATTCCGTAGTATTGTTCTTCTAAAATGCAACAAAGAAGTTTATCCTTCTCCTATTGAGGATCTGATTATAACGGTTTCTCTTGTAGTGTGCCTGATTTCTCTTCTAATTCCTCTACCTTGTCTTTCCCAGTGCCTCTTTGCTTGAGATGTAACAGTTCAGATGCATGTAGAAATATGTCACCTATACCTTTGATTGAATTATATTTCTGTATTGTTTATGAACTTGCTATGCATTTGCAATCATTATTAATAAATCAATGTGCTTTTGTCTTCTGTCACGAAGTAATGTATATATTCAAAAAGAATTGTATGCAAAACAAGTCATGTTTTAGAACTCATATCATTAATAATTATCAGTTTGCAGTATTGTTACAACATGTTTTGAGGGAAGCTTATTGTAAAAGAAATAACAAGGCACTGCACAGTAGCAAGAAAGAGACAGTTCAGTTGATCACTAGTGTAGGTGTTATAAATATGCCAGTCTGTACTATAGTGTTTTATTAAGTCTCGAAAAGTCAAAGCTGATTTGAAATAATAATGTCTGACAGTCAGTGCTTTGAAGTTTTGCTGCTGCACTCTCACATTTAGGCTTTCTTTTATGTATGACTTTACCATAAAAAACAAAAACACACACATGGCATGAATGCTTTTTTTTTTTTGTATCTGTATTTCAAAGAAAGTAATAAGAGGCTACTTCAGTGAATTAAAAGGAAAAAAAAAAGGAACAACCCCTCAAAATCAATGAGGATAGGTGCAGGCCACTGTAAGGTCATACAGTATTCGTGTAAACTGTAGCTGGGGTTGGTAACTTGTTGAAGACTATAAAAGTGAAATTAAAAAAAAAAAAGGAAGAATAAGGAAGAGATGAGGCAAAAGCTATCCTTGATAGGAACAAGATGACTTTCATTCAGTTGGAAGAACTTGAGAGCTTGGCCGTGATAGCTAACACAGTCGTTCTTCATCACTGCTCGTGTAACAAAGAGCTGGATTCCATCCATTCCATGACTGATTGATTACCCAATGGACAAATGTTAATTCTTTTCATCGATGCTTTGTCATTGTGGAGAGATCCTTTTCATCTAACACCTAGGCTTTTTTTTCTTTTTTTTTCCTACTTATTTAACATCCTCTTCTCATTCACCTCTGCAAAACTGTCATGTCTAACAAGATTCTCACAGTACTTTAAACTCCTTTAGTCTACAATTAAAATTGCTAACAAAGTAGGTAATAAACCGTGATATTAAATAATACTCAATGATTTCATTTAGTCATCTCAGTTTAATTATACTTAACCTGTTTGCTGTCCTTGAAAGAAAATTTTTTCTAGTTCGCAAGAGAAGAATATAAAGGAAGAGAACTGTGTGTTGTTAATATAATAAATTGCTCCAGTGCAGCTTCACAAGTTTGATCTTACATGTGTCAGTACAAAATATGCTACTTTGCAGCATAAGCCCAACTGTGGTTTATAAAGTCAGTGAGAAGAGCTAAAAATGTATAAATGCTAATTTCTTTCTTTGCTTCTTTTATAATTGTCTTTAAAAAGAATACCCCTGAATTTTGAAAATGTCAGGATCCACAAGGTTTTAGAGTGGTTCTGAAGCAGAGCCTCAGTGCCGGGAGAGTGATGCAATGCAGATGTGAATTCGGGCTTCTTCTACATTCAGTGCTGGATTCCGAGTCGATGTTTTGTTTCTGTAACGAATCAAATCAGAAAATGAATCAATATGGATGAAGACATTTTACTGATGTCTTTGTAGATTTTGTATGTATGCAAAAATTAATTTTCAGTACAGAAAGAAGAAAAAAATCCCTTTCTGATTCACAAACCTTTTCAGAACGTGTGTTTGTGAACACAGAATATAGAACTTGAATGGAGACGTGCCTTTCAAGTATAAGCCTATATATATAGTTTCGTGCCTAATGCGGAGGACCTGCAGAGAGCCTTAACACATATAATTATTTTAAATTCTAAAAATTATGCAGATTAAACCGGCTAGTTGAAAATTTACAGGAAGTTCAAAAGAGTTATTTCTACAATGTTATTAAAAAGTTTATTAAAAAGCTCATTTTGTGGTTTTATAATCTTCCCAATAACAAAATACAGTAGCTATAAATTGTGTGGTCAGATCTATAATGTAGAGTTTGCATGAGATAGAGATGTTTAAAGAAATGTCTCTTAAGGGATTTTTCAGTCATTTATAGAGATAAAAATTGTAACCAACAATGTGACTGTATCGAAAAGAAGGCATACAGATAGAACTCTTTTCCATTCCAGTTCTTTCTCTGTTTTTAGAAACATGTTTTTTGCCTATATGTAATACAAGAACACTACGGATAAACATGGGTGTTCTTAAGAAGAGTAAGAAAAGAAATAAAGCAAATACTTTGAGGAAAGTATTTTATCAACTCCTGTAATATTCTAATTGTTTCTTTTTTTAAAAAAAAATGTTTTCCTTCTTTGTATGAATTGAGGAAAATATCTTAGTTAAAAAGCAGTAGAATACATAACCTAGAACAAATATCAAAATAAAATTCTAAAAGCTCTTTTTTTTTTTCAGGGATAAGGGGTCTGAAATTTTGGCAGGGGAGAAACACAGAAACATCTTTTTAAACTAATGATGATATCACAAAAAAGGACAAATTATAATGTTGTATTGGTAATTGATGGTTATTTCTTGATTCTTCTATTATCAGGCCAGAACTCATAAAAGTAATAAGTGCCTGTTATTGTTAAAAGTAAATTGTTATTATATAACAAGAATTTTAACACTGCCTATTGCAACTTACAGCTCCTTAATTTTGTGTCTTTCATAGAAAGATATAATTAGTAAATAAATTAGCTTTTCTACTGAAATATTACTTCAAAAACATTTACTAGCTGTGTTGTCTTTCCACGGAGGCTTGCACGGTGAAAATGCATTTCAATTAAAACCTGATCTTTGATCTTTTGGTAGTTATAGTTTGGTTTGCTTTCAACTGATTTTCGTGGTGGTTTTTTGTGTGTGTGTGTGTGTTTTTTTTGTTGGTTTTTTGTGTGTTTGTTTTTCAAATGAGTGACACTAATGTGCATTTTTAGGCTGAAACTACTTGCACCCTAAAATGTGATTCACCTTATGATCTTTTTTTTTCCTTAAACTTGTGCTGAAATCTTTAACTCCTCCTTTTGTGACCTCTTTGAATGCTTCTCCTCTCTCTGAATATTTTTAGAATGCTCTGAGGTAGAACACACTGTTACCCATTGCACCGATGCAATCTGTGTTGTCATTCTTAATCTGGGTTTTTTCCTTTTGTTTTCACTTCTGAGTGCTTCTGATGGGGCTGCTGACATGAGAATTTGAGTCACAGTTTAGCCTTGATCTGCCAGTAATTTATCAGAAGATGTGTTTAGGCCGAATTCTGTTGTCTTGTATGCCCCAGTGTTCATTCTTAAGTGACAGGAGTGGGATCAATGCAAATGCTGATCAATGCAAGTGTCGAAATTTGGAAAATTATTCGTTATTTAGAAAGCATTGTGCAATTGATCTCTTAACACAAACAGCAGCTCGCCGTAAGAGTTTCTAACAAGCTAAGGTGTATGACCATTCCCAGTATATGCACTAAGAAAAAATGTGCTCAGCACCACCCAGAGTGATATGTGGTCTTATAACAAAGGCTCTTTGCAAAGATTCCATTTAGGGATAGAGATGCATTTAAATAATATTTTTAATATCTGGCTAAACTGAGCCTAAGGATTTCTGAGGAGTATAGCATAGAAATTGTTAATGAGTCTGTCTACCAATGAAAGTAAATGCACAATGTTTATTGGAGATTCAATTATTACTAACTGAGTAGGAAAAATAGGTGTTCAATTGTGTGTAAAGTTTTCTTGATAATTATTTATAAATCTGAATTGCTGTTCTTAAAGTCATAAAACTGGTTCACAACATCAGCTATAAGAATTCCGATCTTAAAAATCACCTTTCAAAAGTTTTCTGGAAGGTTATGTACAATTTAGACTTCAGAGGCACTTAGTTTAATTTAGGGACTGAAAAAATCTTCAGATTTTATGGAAGTCTGTCATGTTCAATATCAAAATTTTCTTGTGGAATTGAGTACTGATCACATGAAACTCAGAAGGCCAGTCTTCTACTTTGTCCTAAGTGTAATGACTCCAGTGACAGTTTTGCGTACAGAAGGCCTCTCAGATTGGGGCAAAGATATGAAATGTATTCTGAAATTCGAATTATGAAAGCATATCTTCTAATCATTGCGTGTTGTTTATAGTGTACTGAGAAAATTTCTGATACTGTGAACATCCAACATGGAGTGCTTTTATGAATTCCATGGAGACATTATATGAACAACTTTTGCATTGACATGGGTATAAAAATGGGTTTCAGATGTCACTGTGTGCCAAATTTCCAAAAAAAGCTTCTAAATCTTCATGTGTAATTTCAAGCGTACAATCATTCTCAAATGAAAAAGACAGGATTTGTATATACATTGGCAATCTATGCATGTAAATTGGCAGTTAGCATGCATAAATCCTGAACGAAGTTTTTCTTTCAATTAGACCCTTGTTAAATCCATAGTAACTCCATTAACCTCGGTGGAATTACTTTGGATTTAAAATGCAGTTAAATGAGAACTCTGTTTGGCTACAAGTGCATTTCCTTTTGAAACTATGGTCCAACTGCAACAGGGGGAACAGTTTTAAAATGAAGGTGGCACCTGTTTTCCTGATGTGAGAGAATATATTTGATAATTCTTTTTTTTTTTTTCTTTTTTTTTCTTTTTTAAAATAGATTCATCCTGCATGGAAAAGCTACTTTCTAAAGACTGGAAGGAGAAGATGGAAAAATTAAACACAAGTGATCTCCTTGGAGAAATTAAAGGTATCTTACTAGATCAAATTTTAAGTGTGCATATATTTTAAAAAGGAGATTGAGGATTTTTTAAAGTTCGGAAAAAATGATAGAAATAACAATCATAACTATAGTATACTTTCCTCTTTCCAGTCAACTCACCCTGTTTTTTAATGCTTATCTTTGAAATGATGGATGTGTCTGCCAAATAAATAAATTAGAGTATGTCACAAGCAGTTATAGGCAGTATCAAGACTGTTATCATGAGCACCAGGTTAGTTACATTAATTTATTGACATTAGCTATATATCTCTGCGACCAGAGGGAGAGGAATAAACATCTTGAAAACATGGAGTTACTAGTACTTGGTACTGTTTCTTCCTAGTTGTGTAAACTATGTCTAGAAACTAATTTCAGATTATAAAATGAGGTAATCGTGTGATTACTGTTATAAATTTTTGACTCAAAATAGGGGAAAAAATAATATTTGTTTATATTCATGCTTTTTGTGAGGAGAAAGAGCACCTCTGGATGAAATTCGGGACCTACTGAAATCAGTGCAAGTTTTATTACATATATAGACAGTACTTTCCAGTATTTCCAAGATTTGTTGAACTGGCAATCCAGTAAAAGTGGAATTCTCTTGACAGTCAAGTACTATGTAGAAAACTTGAAGTGGGTTTTTCCTATCCATCAATTCTTCCATGGATTTTCTTAGTGAGAAGAAATTCAGTGTTATTGATTAAGCAATAAATTAAAAAGGTGAGTATTTTTGTGCTGTGAGAAGGAGTCATAAGGCATGTTTGAGGAGTAGGTGCCTAAGATTTATTTCTCTTTATTGGTATAATTTTATTAAATGGCAACTACAAATATGTGGAAACAAAGAATCATGTGCATCATGTTAATAAATCTGTTCTAGTGTTAAAAAAAATAAAAGACATACTATTCGATGAAAATTGATGCTTAGGGTTTTACATTTCCACCAGGGAAATGTAAGATCAATTTTTTTGTTATACAAATAGATGAAGGACTGGTCCTTTTTAATAAGTAGGTTATAATTGGTTCCTTCAGCTTATTCAGGACCAAAATCTGTGGGATTCTCCTGCTGGATTTTTTTTGTAAAATTATGACAATGCACATATATTAGGCAGGTAAGAAATCCTATAGTAATGTCAATGGCAGAAATAGAGTATGCAGTTTTACAGGAACATGTTAAAATCGACTGTAATAAAATCCAACAAAATTATGTCTTGAAATCACATTCTATTTAAAGCCATATTGTCTCTTAATAGTGTAGAAAACGTTGAATGCTAGCTTGTCCGTTAATTGCACAATATAGCTACTTAGTATTTAAATAGAAACTACTTGAATGCTATTAGTGGATCAAAATTAAAAGAGGTGGGATCTCTAACAATGCAAAATAATGGTCTTTATTCCTTTATATGGCACAAAAAGCTTTTTCATGAGCTTTCATTTATAAAAAAAAAGTTTGTTTTTGTAGATTTATGTTATTCCTCCTATTTCGTATTATATATATATTCACTGCAGAATGAATGGGTAGAGTTCTTGCTCCCTAACCCTTTTCTCATCTACCTACAAAGCATTCTCATTCAGATTTGGAAGAATTTTTGACCCATTCAACTACATTTTCTGTGGGTATAGCCTATTTGCTATATAAAAAGGATCACCTGATTAGGCTTACCAGATTTATGTGAGTGTATTCTCTTCTGTGAGAGATTTATGTTAGTTTCCACAACTTCCTGTGTCTCATCCCTAGAAACCTAACCTTAAGTGGTCTTAATGTCTGCAGTATTCCTCTCCACTACTAGTTGACTTCCAGCAAGATGCAATATTGAATCTTTGCTACTGCAACTGCATTTACCATCTTTCATAAACAGACAAAAACACAAAAAAGCATATACAAACATGGAAGATAAATGATGGCTGCTGTTATGTCATGCTTTACACTTACAGTATCCAAGCCTCTTGACAAAGGCATTAATGTCATTTCATAGAAGAAGAAAACAAGGTGCAGGGTTACACAGCAGGACTACTTGCAGGTTTGAAGTAGGACTCCTTTCCTTTGGACTTCGAAGCCAGTGGCCTAGCCACTGTCTCCAGGCTGGTAAGCTCCTAGCTGATAAAATCATTATCAATGTAATAGCCTGGTATTAACTCGTATTAGAATTTGTGTGCCTTAAATCGCCTCAGAAAGAAAAAAAAAACAACCCAACAATCTAGCCCATGGCCGTGTGAACACCAGATTACTAGAAGGACATAAAGAGGAGTAGGGGTACCACAGAGAACTTTTAAACTGCCACAGAAGTATAGCTTAAAAAAAAACTTTCTAGTATTCAAGGTGGTAGATTTCTAAATCATGAAGTTCATTTTCACAGTGCTGAATGAATTTCCAGTTAGGAAACGGGCAGGGCATGGGGGGGTCTGAAAGAAGCCCTTCTGAGAATGTCTTCTTTGGGTGGTCAAGTGTCTTTTTTCTTAATTTCCATTAGATTCTAAATCAATTTATTTAACTGGCTCATATTTTGGCTTTTGTGCAGAATATCTGCTCACATTACTGAGAGCTTAACTTAAAGATATGAAGCGATGCAGTAAAAATAAGTAAATGAGGTCATTAGGGAAAAAAAAATCTTGATTATAAGAAAATGAGGTGTGGTCCTGTGAGGAGCTGCTCTTTGCACTGACTGTTACTGGGAGTTGTTTATTTTAGAGAGAAGGCGTTGTTCTTGCTAAGCATAACCTGAGCACATACTCTTCCTCTGTATCTGCACGACTACAACCCTCCCCCCTTCAGTGAAAGACTAGCATCTTGGTTGTGGGAAGGCAGTTCACTAAGAATCAGTGCCAGAAAAAAGGATGAAAGCAGAAGGAAAATGTACCACTGACACAAAAGTGTTTCTATTCATGTTTGGGAAGCACATAGACGAGAAGAAAAGATAATTGGGTGAGAGAAACAAATAAAAATGGTGTTTTCTTGCTTTACCTTCTATATTTAGAACACAATAGTGTTAATCAAGATATAATTATAAACTATATTTATTAATTCAAACAATAGAAGCCAATACAAAAGTAACAAAGAGTGAATAATTTATTTTTCTCTAAGAGGGATTGTTCCTGTTCACAATTACTCTTGCATAGTATGCTTCATTTGTAAAACTGCTTTTTGTGAGTCTCTTTATTAGGATTTCAGTTATTGATAATGGTCCAGATTCTTCCTTGAATTCCAGCCAAACAAGCCATTGACTTCAGGGAGGTTGCATGAAACTCAGAGGAGCATTTGGCAGAATGCTTTGTAGCCAAATTCCAGTGGTTAAATAAGTCTGCTTGTTCATCTGATATGTTTATAAATGAAACACATAGGTCAAATTTTCAGAGATCTACGAAGCAGTTGAGCTGAGTTAAATGACCTGCTCACCTGGAAAAAAACCCACAGCTGCCCATGCAAATCATTTGATTGTATGCTCTTTGCCGGTGTGTGCATGCAAATACATTTATTCAAGGTATATAAGCAATTTGTTAGGCTTATGTCTGGCTTTTGCAGTGTTGGGATTTGTTTTTTTTGTAGAAGAATTAGAATCAGGAACTACTTTTCATTCTATTTTTTCTTTTAATGTATTTGAATAAACAAATGACGCGGGACTCTTCTAAATTTCCAGATATTTGAGTGCAGAGAGTCCTCGCTCTGCCTCCCTGCATGTATTTCTGTTGCTTAGTTATCCAGTTTTTCTTCAGCAGCCACAGCTAGGCAGAGTAGCATCATTTATCACTATACGGAGTCTGGTTTAAGTTTTCTGTTTCTGTTCCAAATATAAATCTCCGGAATAGCATAGTCTTGCATGCATCAGGCAGTTGTCCTACTGAAATAGCCCGCAATGGTCTTTCTCAGCGTGCAGGGTCTTTGAAGATCAAATAAGAAAGGTCAGTCTTTAAGTAATTTAAGCAATGATGTTATCGTGAAAGGGTTGGAATTGGTCTAGCAGTCTTACAGAAGAGTGACTCCTGGGTCACCAGCTACTGTGTTGCAGGTTAGTTCTCTGGCTTCTATTGGTGGTGTTTACAACTGGAACTATCTATATTTATAGGCATTGTGACTTGAATGTCACATGCTGTCTTTGTACAGCATACTCTGTTTTGGAAGGGTAGTGATTGATGTCCCTAGCTTTATCCAAGGCTGTTTGCATTATGTTTCCTGTGGTTATTCCTTCCCGTTTTATATTTGCTACTTTATTAAAAGGGGCCTAAAACTCCTATTTCATGTGACGTACACATTTAATAGCCTCAAAATATTTAGATAGGTAGGAGGCAGCATTCCTGTTTCCTAGGAAATGCTGAATTTAGTAAAATGGAGCAACTTCACCAGTTTGATAGTCTCCTTGTAAGATAAACCATAAACAATATGGAAAATGATACTCGTCCCTCATATTAGAAGACAGGAGAAATGGAAAGAGGTGATTTCTAGGAGCGTTTTTTGTGGGTGCGTTAATGACTGGAAGAGAATAGCGAGGTGCAACTGTTTGAATCTAGTAATTTAACACTATCCATTTCGGGAATAGTCTTGGACAGAGTTCTGCATGAATGAAACCTTGAGAAAGTTATGGTTTCTGTGTTTTTACAGCGAATTAAATTTTTCTTAGAATATGCATGATTTACAAAACATTTTAAAAAGCTATTTTTACTTCCATTTTATAAAATTTGTCTTCTCGGATAAGCTTTCAAGTGTTTCTTGGTGCACTATATCAAATGTGAAGACTGTAGATGTAGATATAGACATAGATCTGATGTTTTCCTCTGTCCCTGACCAACACTGTAGTCTAGATTTGTAGTAATTATTTCCCAGTGTAATTGCTGAAATTTTTTTCTAATGAATTCTAAGGATATATAACAGTATGCCTTATAAATATGTATAAATAAATATATATAAGTCTTATATCACAGAGGCACTCAGAGGTTTTTAATTATGTCACTTTGTATGGCTACAGACATTTCAAAGCTCTCCTTTGTGCTCTCTGTTA